TGCTCCCTGTTCTGTGGGCATCCATCCTTCTCCCACCGACATGCATACAAATATGCTGGCCTGTATTTATTTAACAAGGGAATTTTTTCCCTTCACTGCGGGGAATAGAAGAAAAAAAGGGCAATTTTTTTTTGTTTCGCTGGGAACAAATCTCATTTTCAAGAGTCCTGACAAAATGAGCCATAAAATTACAATATTTCAAAGTGCTTCGTAATTCTGGCGCGGATGGCTCTTCATCATGGAATCTGAAAGCTCAGAAAATATAAAACTCATTAGATTAAAATAAACCACCTACTGCGTGGAAGAAAAGCTTATTTATCAATATCAATTTACTTCTGATTACCCTGTTCTGCAATTTGTTATTTTTAGGAATTATGATTTGTGTGTAGCTCTTGCCAATATGTAGGGGGGGGAGAAGAAAAGAATAAAATTAACTTTTACCTTTTTTTCCTTTTGAATCCTACTTATTGTAAAGACCTGGCCAAGAAGCAATAAGAAGGAGAAAAGGTGAATTTCTAGCAGTGCTTCGGTTTGAGGAGCAGAGGGATGGAAAAGCTGGGAAAGCAGGATCTGCTGTGCCTCTACAACCTGCTCTGTGTTGGCAGGAGGGCTGGTGCCAAGGGTTGTGCTTTGCTGAAGAGGTCCCAGGGGGTGGTCTCTCTGATGCACGTTTGGTGGTGGCCCTCATTGGAGCATCTCCTGGCCTTTTCCCAAGGTGGAGGGAGCTGGGCAGAGTGGGCATGGATGGTGTGCTGTGGGAGTGGGGGGGGGAAAAGGGGTCTTCCAGTGGGTGGCTGGATGCAATCATCACGGTGGGATGCTGGTAGCATCTCGGGGGGCTTCCACTCTGCCTATGAAGGAGCAAATCCTGTAGGTGGGCAGCACTGGCTCCCCGCTTTGGGGGACAACATTTGTGCTACGTTGCCAGAGAGGAGATTTCTTGGGAAGGCGTGTAGACTTTCCTCACATGGAAGCCATTTATGAGATGGCTTTGATTTACACTTTCATTTCTTCTTTATGGGCCTGGAACAGCGCGGAGCAAAGAGAGAGGCTGACACCATAAATTTTGAGGTGCAAGTTGTGGCGGGGAAGGGAAATCCAGGTTGGGGGCTGGGGGTTTGGGGAGTGATTGAAGGTGCCAGCAGCAGCTCCAACACCAGAGCATCCCTGCCAGCAAGGCACAGCCGCTGCTCTGATGGAAGCAATTAAGTGTGTGTGTGTTGTGTGTGTGTGTGAGCCATTCTCATATGCAAGCACCCCAGCAGTGCATTTAAAAATAAACCAATACAGGTGCACAGCCTGGAAGCTGGTGCTTAAGCACCCTGAGAGCAATAGGTGGCCTGGGGCTGGAGAAGCAGGAGCATCTCTTACTCCAGCGTTTCGCAAAGGCGAGATGCTAGAAGGTTTTTGGAGCCTTGTTGCCAACTTTAGGTGGATTTAATGCGTGCTGAGAACTGGAGCATGCGCTGGTTGGGGCTCTGTGTGTGTAGCCAAGCAGGTGGCATCTTGGCCACTGTTTAAGCAAGGAAAAAAAAGCCACTTCCAAGGCTCAGAAAGGAGGCATTTGGGACAAGGGAGCTGAAAAACCCCTGCTCGACCTGAGCCTAAACTTTCGAGCCCCTTTCTTCACAGAGTGATGTTTCAGGGGTAGAGGCTTCTCCGGTTTCCATCCATCACCATTTAAAGTGGTTCTGGCTGCTGCTTCCCGTGCCTTGGGGAGCAGTTGCCAGCAGCCTGGGAAATCTCTGCTTTAACATTAGTGCTTTTGCAGCCAGGAGACAACAGTTAAGTTCCCAGAGACGACTTGCCCGGAGACATTATTATTATTATTATGCTGGAAACTGCACCGAACGCTTCCTACAAAGAGCCTTTTTTTTTTTTTTTTTTTTCAGGCAGAAGGTGCAGTTTAATACGCTCTCAGTCGCAAATTTTTAAGCTCTCCCCCGAGATTTCTCAATCCTGTTCCTAAATTTGCAATATTCGAGTGAACCGTCTCGGAGAACCAGTGAAGAGCTGCGGTATTAATGAAGACAGACAAAATCAAAATGACATTTCAGGCAATTACTTACATAATGAAGTGACTGACTCGGAATATACAATATTTAGATTTATCATGACACTCGAAACGGGATGCTGTCAACTGCCTTTATTTCTACAGCCCGTAAATTGTTTTTCCACTGCCCCGGTGCTTTTTAAATGTGGTCTGTGAAGCCGGAAAATAATGTTTCCGCTCACTTGGGCTGATAGCAGGGCTGTTGTAGAAGAAAGTTAGTGTCTTTCTTGGTGGCATTTGGGCACAGCAGAAGGCAGAGGGAGAGCTCGGGGTTGGGCTGCCTTGCTCATGTCTCCATCGCATCCTTTCTGGTGGCAGCACCCCAGGCTTGATGCTGGCCAGGGGGATGCAGGGGCTTGAAACAGCAGCATAGTCCGTGTCTGAGGCTTTTTCCTCCTTGAAACCTATTAAAGAAGGGGGAAAACGAAGACATTTGGGTTTTCTTCTTTGTTAGAAGAGTCCGTTGTGCTTTTATAGGCTGAATCTGCAGGTATAAAGGACCTGATAGGGTGCCCGGCTCCTGGGGAAGAGGTGATTTTTGTTTAGAAGCTGGGTTTTTGGGTGTTCTGCTGGCATAAAGTGTTCAAAAGTCAAACTTGTCAAGGGGTGGAGAACTGAACGCTCCTGCCCTGTCTGTCACAGACCTGTGGCAAGTTTCCCGGGGAGACCAGCATGATACACCTAAAAGTTAAGCAGCGCTGCTCCCAGATGTCTTCTTGGGCTTGTGCTGAATTTCCTAAAGAGGCATGAAAAAGACCACAGCACTGTTTTTCTTGCCTAGGCACAGACCTCTTCCTCCTAGAGACTCTCTTGTGGCAAAATGACTGAAGAAATTGGAATTTAGGGCCTTTTCTACAGCAATAGAGTTATTATGAACTGTCTTCTCTGACACGTCCACCAGTAAAAATAAAATACGTGTAGCTATTGCTTTGAAACTCCTTTAGGAGCATCCATGGAGGTGGGGCTGGGGTGTGGGCTCCCTTGCAGAGGTAAGGACCACCCGGTGGGGTGCCTGTGCAATCTCTTAAGGGTGTTGACCCCTCTGCCTTTAGCTGGGCTTAAATCTGCAGCCTGTGGCCATCGTGGTGCCGTGCTTTTGGTCCCTGCATGTCCCTCCTTGCATTTTGGTGCCTATAGAGCAGGGTGCTGGGAAGGGAAAGGCTGAGATGCTGTTTTTGGGGTGAATCAAGAGTGATGCTGGGTGAGGTGGTACCCTGGGCTTGTGGACAAGCCGTCTGCCCGAGTGCTCCTCAAGTGGGAATCACTGTGGTTTATTCAGGTCTGATGCTTCCATAATTTGTTCTCTGAGTGCTGCAAGCACTGGGTGAACCAAAACTCGCTGTGGATACAGCCGGTCGCGGGTGTAACAAGTCCCTGCTTAGGCTGGGAAATGGAAGAAGTGATTTATTTCTCCTTTCAGCCCTCACAGCTCAGGTCAGCACTTGATCTCAAGTGGGAGCTGCTTATGCATTTAACTACAGAATCACAGGATCTTCATGGTTGGAAGGGACCTTTGAGATCACTGTGTCCAACCACCAAAAAAACCCCAAAAAACAAACCACCACCACCACCCCCCCCCCTCAAAACCCAACCGTCTTGGGCACTAGGGCACGCCCTGAAGTGCCATGTCTACATGTTGGGAGATATGGTTTAGTGATGGTGTTGCTTTTTGTTTGTTGTGTGGGTGTTTATTTTTATCAAAATGAGGTTGACGGTTGGACAAGATGATCTTTAAGGTCCCTTCCAACCTAGAAGATTCTGTGATTCCTAAATCCCTCCAGGGATGGTGACTCCACCGCCTCCCTGGGGAGGCTGTTCCATCTAATCATGAGGAGGAACGTCTTCACTTTGAGGGTGGCAGAGCCCTGGAAGAGGCTGCCCAGGGAGGTGGTGGAGTCTCTGTCTCTGGAGACATTCAAAACCCACCTGGACACGTTCCTGTGCAACCTGCTCTGGGTGGACCTGCTCTGGCAGGGGGTTGGACTGGATGATCTCCAGAGATTCCTTCCAACCCCATGTGATTCTGTGATACTTCTAGTAGGAGGTGTCCCTGCCCATGGCAGGGGGGTTGGAAATAAATGATCTTTAAGGTCCCTTCCAACCCAAACAGTCCTATGATTGTCTCTGGGGTGGAATGTTTTAAAATGAGACGTGTATGAATTTCCTTGCGAAGCAGGACTTTGCCAAGGTTTTGTGAGGTTGGTTTGGAAAGAGCTTCGTGTTCAATGGTTTGAAACCATGGGAGGATGTGGTGGTGCTGAGCATCTGCCTTCCAGTGTCTTATTCTGTTGCTTGCTGTATCCAATGGGAAGGAGGGGGAATTTGAGAGGCAGAGGTGGGATAAGGGCATGTTTGCAAGCCTGGTGTTCCCAGTGCCCTTGCACCTCAAGTAGTTTGAGATTTGAGGGGTTCTGCTTTGTGCTCTGAAATCCTGGGGCCTCTTCAGTGATTCTGGGTCAGGCTTCCCACGTAGTTCTACCAAAACATGGTAAATCCCAGCGCTGACTGGTCACCGCTGTGGGGCTCCTGAGTTACACCAGCTCTTCCTTACCCTCGGTTCTTGAGCAGCTCATCTTGGCCTCTGGGTCTGACCACAGGGGTCACCATGGCTTAACCCCTCCCATGAGATGAGCAAATACCCTTCAATAAATGGAAAATAAAAGGCATATCTCTTATGCCAGGTTAATCCTGGTTTCTATTTGGTGCTTGCCAAGAGGATGGTTGGGGCTGCCTGAACTAAGAAAGTGGTGGCAGCACTTTTGGATGAGGTCCCCTCTACAAAAGCCAAGCGTTCACAAAACTTCATCTCCTGGGTGTCCCCCTATGGCCTTGGGTCGCTGAGGTGTGCAGGCTGGTACAGGGGTGCATCTCCAAGCCTGCTTTGGGGATGACAACGTAATATCCATAAAGAGCTGAACTTGACGCTGCCTTTTTTTTTTGTTGACAGGAACCATGAAGCGTCACACTTCTGCTGGCAGCTTTCTGCTTCCCCTCTTGCTCCTGGAGCTGGTCTCTCTGGGTAAGTCATCTCTGTAGGTACAGTGACCACGCTTTTCTCTTCCCACCCTTCTTCCTGTCTTATCTTTGTGAGGTATGAGGGTAATACTGGCTTTGTGGGCTCCTGGTGAACATCTCAAGGCACAGCAGCATGGCTGGGGAGATGCAGTTGGCGTGGGTAAGTCCTGGTGACCTGAGCGTTGTGCTCCTGTGCAGCCACTTTTCCTGCAGTCAGTAAAAGGACATACATGGCATCAGGTGACTCTTCTCCAGAAGGATTGGAAAGAGGCTAGGAGGAGGAGGATGTGGTGGTGAACCCAACAGTGGTAGATGCTCCTGGCGTATCTTGGTGGGAAGACCTTGGCAGCTTCCAGATGTGGGGTCATGAATTCAAAGCTGGTGGTGGACCTTGCAATGCATATGGCATTAGGTTGTTTGTATGTAATTAAAACCTAAAAGAAATTAGAGGGAGAGGACATAAGGCATGGACGTGAACCAGAAGCTTGTTAGCTGTTCAACAGCGGAGGTATTACTGGCAGGGCTCTCCCTTTGCTTTCAGCAGCAAAATTATTACCCAAACTGGGCTTTAATATATGCCGTGTGGGGAAATAACTCCTCTCCGAGCTGCTTTTCTAATTCCAGCTGGAGGGAAAGACAGAGCTTTGGGCAGGCAGGGCCTCTTGCTGGGCTCTGTCACACATAGATGATGCTCCTGGTCTTTCCCTTTGGTGCGTGGGCTTCTGGTGTAGGGAGGTGAGCTTCTGGCTGCTTGGTGGGATCTTGTGGGACAACTGTCTTCTGGTACAGGAGAGTTTTTCACAGAAAGAGTGGTCAGAGACTGGAATAGGCTGCCCAGGGAGGTTGGTTGAGTCACCATCCTTGGATGAGTTTGAGTTGTTTAGATGTGGTGTTGGGAGATATGGTGTAGGGGAGAACTTTGTAGAGTAGGGTTGATGGTTGGACTCGATGATCCCAAGAGTTTCTTCCAACCTAAATGATTCTATGATTCTTGGGCTGGGCTTTGGCATATCCTGGGATGCCTAAGTACTGCAAGCATACAGCAAAGCTGCATGAAAATTGGGATTATTGCATGAATGGGCTAAAGCCCCCGGGTGCTGGCGGGGGGAGAGGGAGGTCGGGGGTTGTGTGCCTGTGTGGTGCTTGCTGATAAACAATAGCGAGTATGTGTCCATTTGATAGCACTGTGCCCTTTGGAATAAAGGCTTTTTTTTCCCTTTTTTTTTTTTTTTTTCCTTTTTCCCTCCCTACTGAAGCTTCAAGATGGCTTGCCCAGATTGGCAGCCTGATTAAGCAGTCAGCGGATGACATTAGCTGTGACTGACAAGCGCAGTCAATCTCCCTCTGGTGTCGTATTGGATCAAGTAGAGCCTCACCACTTAACTGCCCTGTCACTCCTCTGGAAGGGGAAAAAATAAGCAGGAAATAATAATAAAAAAAAAAAAGAACAACTCGCAGTGTCCTTGGCCCCAGTCCCAGCCTCCTAAAACTTGCCCCCTGGAGACATCGTTTGCCATGAGTGGTCCAGTACATCCCATCGGAGGTGGGATGGTGGTTTTGCTAGCCTGGATGGAGGCTTCTTCCTTCATCCTTCCCTGTCCAATAGCTGGTGTGTGCAGGCCCTGCTCCAGGAGCCTGGCTGGACACAGTAGATAGGCAAGAGCAAGCTGCAAAGCCTTGGAGAGGCAAAGCAGAGAAATGAGGATTTGGAAGCTTATAGATCCATCAGGGTGTTAGCCCTTCTCTCCTAAACCCTGCCCTGTCCAGGGCTTAGTTGCCATGTCCCCGAGGAGTGCCTGCCCTCGATAAGCAAGGGCTGGCATAATGCTCGTGCCTGGGGTCAGGAGAAGTGCATGGATGCCCTGCCATACACCCTAGGGACTGCAGGTGATGGATCTCCTCTTCCCAGAAGACTTGCAAAGCTCTTGCTGAAGCAGTTAGCTAGGGTAAATGCAGAAGCACAGCCCGAGTGTGTTTGAAAAGGGATGGTTTAGCTCTGGCATGGCAGTGGAGCCTGCCTGCTCCTACCCAGTCACCGCTGCAATCACCAGGGATGGGCAGAGACCTTCATCTCCAGGTTAGGAGAGACAGAAGGAGGCTAGCTAGAAGAACACCTCCATGATAACCATGTTCTCTCATCAGCAGTTGCAAAGGACATGAGTACGGACTCTGAAGGGTGAAGAAGCAGCAGGTTTTACAGGAATAACGTGGAGCAGGCATGGAAACACAGAATCTTGATGGTTGGAAGGGACCTTTGAGATCATAGAGTTCAACCACAAAAAAAAACCCACTCCAAAACAAAGCACAAAAAAAACCCCAACCCACAAACAGACACAAACCAATAATCTCAGCCACTAGAGCATGCCCTGAAGTGCCATGTCTACACGTTTCTTAAATACCTCCAGGGATGGTGACTCCACCACCTCCCTGGGCAGGCTGTTCCAGTGCCTGACCACCCTCTCAGTAAAGCAATTCGTCCTGATATCTAATCTAACCTTCCCCTGCCCCAGCTTCAGACCATTTCCTCTGATCCTGTCATTATTCCCTTGGGAGAAGAGGCCAAGCCCCACCTCTCTACACCCTCCTTTCAGGGAGTTGTAGAGGGCAATGAGGTCTCCCCTCAGCCTCCTCTTCTCCAAACTGAACATGCCCAGTCCCCTCAGCCTCTCCTCATCCCGTCTAACCCCCTGCCAAAGCAGGCTCACCCAGAGCAGGTTGCACAGGAATGTGTCCAGGTGGGGTTTGAATGTTTCCAGAGAAGGAGACTCCACCATTTTTGACAGGAGCCCTGTCTCCAGAGAAGGAGACTCCACCACTTTTGACAGGAGCCAGGTTAAAAAAGACCGTATGGCCAGATCTGAGATGAGAAGGAGGTTATATAATTATATTTAGTATACTGATAATATTTAGAAATATATTTTGACACAGAGGGGCTTGCAGCAGCAAATCCCCTGTGGGAAAGGCTACTTGGTGTGTTTTAAGCCTCATCTACCCACTTTAAAGCCTGCCAGCCCTGGCACAGCAGCCAGGTACGAGTGCACTTTGAAGCCTCCGGAGATGCCATTAGCTCTAAATAACCTATTTTGTCAGGGCCCTTCTCATTTTCTTTCCAGGTACTTAACTCCAGAGCCCGAGATTTAAATGCAAGAGCGTTGCCTCTAGTGCTTTCCCACTTCTTGAGGTGTTTAACAAACCAGGTGCCTCGGGAAAGAGGGCAGTGCTGAAAAATCCCTGTCTTGTGACAGAGGAAGCCCCGGAGGAGCCCAGGCTGCTCCTCCATCCCCTTCCCCACCCCAAGAGGGTTTCCCCATTGGTGCTGAGCAGGTTTGTGTGGGAGCACAGCTGGCACCCGCGCCTGAAAACATCTTGGGGACATCTCCCTCCTGGAGCTTGGGAAGGCGAAGAGGATGCTGAAATGTAGTCTGGTTCATGTTTCTTAAGGTGGGATGCTGAATTGTGGGGCATGAAGGTGGTGGAGAAGTGTAGCACGGTTAGGAGGGAAACCTGGATGCCTGATCTTGCCCAAACTTTGCTCTTCCTTTGCCTGAAGCGATGTCTTCACTGCTGGAGCGTGGCTGGGGTGATGCTGGAGGTGATGCTCTGCAGAGGCTGTATTGAAAGGGCATCTGGCTGGATCTGCGTCTGGTGGGGGGCAGGTCTGCAAGGGGGTGTTGTGCTGGCAGGTTTTAATCCTTGGGTTTTGGCTGGGCTCACACCCAAGGCAGTGACAAGGGGTGACAGCAGGGAAGCGTTGACCCATTGCTTCTAGGGAGTCTCCTTGCCAGGGGTTGTGCTTGAGACTCTGGTCCTGCTTCTTCCCCTTCTGGGACTGGCTCCTGGGGCTCCTCCATCAATGGGCATGAACTATTTTGGCCAGACCAGTTCAAACACCTGCTTTTCTGTGCACAGCTTTTTTTTTTTTTTTTTGGATACCTGGAAGTTGTACAGGTTTCTCAAAGCCCACAGGTTTGGCCGACTCTGGCTGCATACTGAGGAAAACCCATCCCTCAGATGCAGCCTGGTCGACACCAAACCTTCTCGGAAAATCGTTGTGATTCTTTCCCACCACCTCCATTTCTTCATCCCTTGAATGGTAAATCTTTTCTGGTTGACTTTTTTTCCCTGGTTTGGGCTGCAGTCGTCCTCCTACGTGCTCTGCACTTGATTCTGTCACCTAATGAGGCTGTGGTCTGGGGGCAGGCTCCTGAGCTTCCAACTCCATAAAAAAAAAAGGGAGTAGAAAGAAGTGAGCCTGGTTATTAAAGGTGAAAGGAGGCAATTAGAGGGAAAGGCGATTGGGTGATGTAAAAAGGGGGTGCACTGGGATGGCTGACAAAACAGAAAGGCTCTCAACCATGGGAACAAAGTGAAGGTATTAATCATGTGCTAAAACAATAATTGATGTTTCTGGTCCCTGAGCTGTTGGCTTCCCCCTTCCCCTCCGTCTCCACCCTGCGAAATACTACAGAAAGGAAGGCCAGTGGAGGGAAGTGGCTCCCCAACCAGCTTCTATGAGGACCACACTGCTTTCTGTCCTCCTTCTAGCCTCCGTCTTGGGGTTGCCCATCACCATGGCAATGCCAAGTGGCAAGCAATTTCAGGAAGGAATTTTTTACTATGAGGGTGGTGAGACACTGGAACAGGTTGCCCAGAGAAGCTGTGGCTGCCCCATCCCTGGAGGGGTTCAAGGCCAGGCTGGATGGGGCTTGGAGCAACCTGGTCTGGTGGGAGGTGTCCCTGCCCAGGGCAGGGGGGTTGGAACTAGATGATCTTTGAGGTCCCTTCCAACCCAAACCATTCTATGGTTCTAAGCCCACTCCCCTGTGTGCCCCTCTCTGTGCTGAGCCTCTCCGAGCTTTGTTGGCCAATGAACGATAAACCAGGGAAATAATGCCTTGTTTTTGTCCCCTTCCCAGGTCGGGGCAATCGGCTGCCGTACTTCATGAACTACTTCTTCGATACCTACCTGCTGATCAACGAGGACACTCCTGTGGGTAAGTGGGGCTTGCCCCTGGGCAGGGGGTTCTGCTGCTACCCTGATGGAAAAGGATTAAAGAAAGGTTTTTACTTTTGATTGACAGATGTAGCTAATTTTTCTTTACTTATTTAGCGAAGGATCAGTTTTCAGCAAATGCAGAAATCGACCCGGTTATTCTCGACCTCTTTCCAGGCTCTCAGTCCATTAAACTTGTGCTCTTCAATCAGGGCTTGTGACTGGCTTTTAATGCGGGAGGAATCGATTGGGAATGGAGAGGGGCTGGGTGGGAGGCTATGGAGGCCCCTTCTCACATCTACTGCTGCCTTCCACAACGCAACTCAACCAGCACCTTCCTCCAAAAAAACAAGTGCTCTTGCCGCATCTAAGTTGTCGTTGGAGTTGTCAAAGGTTGGAGGACTCCGGAGAGGTCTTCTCTAGGGACTGCTCAGCCCAACCAGGGCTTCTAGCTGAGGCTTCTGTTTCTTCCTGGGGTTGCATCTTTTTGGTGTCCCTCTTGTGGGATTTGGGGTGGTGTCTGAGCATGGAGGCTTGGTGGTGAGTTTCAGATCGATGGTGTAGAAGCTCCTGGCTGGTAGTGGAGTTCTACACAGAGATGTGTCCTCAGGAGAAGGTTTGCTGGAGCCACATCTGTCTGCTAGGGGAGTTTTGACTTGCAGTGATGCTCAGGTATATTTGTGATGTGAAATAATAGTGAAAACAACTGCTCAGGTGCCTTTATTCACAGCACCACGGATGGCAAGCTGCGAACAATGTAAGGGAAGGAAGGACCTGACTTCATTGTAATTTTATTTTTTTTTCACCCCATGACTTGCGTCCTTGTCATTTTTCACGGTCTTCTTCAGCGAGCCCACCCCTTACAGGTCACTTCACACCCGGCTGCTTTGTTTTGCTGTCTCTATGCCTCCTGCCCCTCAACTGCCAGTGTCCCTGCAAACACATTTAGTGTGGAATGTGCCCCAGAGAAGTCCCGGGGAAGGAAGGAGGAGCAAGAGCAGGTTGGGAACAGCTTAATGGAAATGCTTCCTCTCCCACTACGTGCCTCTTGAAGTACTTGAGCTTGAAATACCTTAAGGGAATTGGACTATTTTGGCAGAAAATGGGGGAAGATTTCTGACAGTCTGCTTTCCAGTGAGATATTGTGCGAGTAAAATTGTGCTTGGAATTACTTTGGGGGTTCAATTTTTTTATTTTTTTTTAAACTTTGTATTACACTGTACAGAAATGAAATTCACTCTTAAGAATATCGGCACCCTGGGATTTTGTTTCCAGATGCACCAGAGGGAAATATCGGGCTTGAAATGCTGAAAAACAGCGTTTTGTGTGTTTTCTGCTGTTGGTAGATGCTTTCTGAGTTATGCTTGTTAACTTTAAAAAAGAAAAATAAAAGGAAATACCTTTTCCTTACCCTTAGTCAGGATATAAGAGTAGCAGAAGTGTATGTGGTGTCTCTTAGCTAGAATAAATAGTTCCTTTTCTGGGGGCTCTCCTTGAAGTGCCCATCACCGTGGCACGGAGTGAATGTCCCCTTGTCCCCTCCCTGGGGCATCCCCGGGTGCAGCCTCACGCAGCCCCAAACCCAGCCGTCCCTGCTTGCTACCTGCCACGCCGAAAGGAATCTTAAGCAACAATTAAGAGATCATTCCCCCTCTAATCACTTACAAGAGTAAATTAGTCTTGTCAGGAGCTATTAAGACAGAGAGCTTGGAATTCATTAGGCGAAATTGGGCTGAGGGAGCTGCTGGCGCTGCCGCCGGTCCAGGCTGATTAATTTCTCCCAAAACATCATCAATGCCCATCTGTTTCATTTAGGTCTGGGGAGAGCAATTTTCAGGTGGACTGACCCTCTAGTCAATTATTTCACCCAGAAGTAATGGAACACACACACACACGTGGGGAAGAGGGGACGTGAGCTTTAGGAAGGCAAAAGCGATTGAAGGGGCTGGGAAAGAAATTTGCAGGAGAAAGGGGGAGATGCCTGGAGAGGAGGAGGAGGGATAATGGCTGGTTGGACCAGGTGAGGTGGGACACGAGGAGAGCCCGTGTCAGCTGCCAGTAGCTGTATCATGGCATGTTTTACTCCGAAAGCAGAAGTACTAGCTGGTTAACGACCCTTAGAAGAAGAGTCTGCAGGAGAGGGACCATCCGTCTTTATTGTGCTGCTCACTGCCTAAAGCAAAATCATTCCAAGGGCCATTTCGTCTAATCCCAAACCTTTTAAGAGGGCTGTGGGTGAGGGAGAGCGGGATGGATATTGATGCCAGGTGAGTCGCTGGATGGTCTCTGGCAAGGTATGATGTCCACCGGCACGTCGGGAAGGTGGCGTTGCTGCAGGTGGATTTTTTTTCATCCCTGGATTTGTCAGCAAGTGGGGCCAGGGAAGCAGTGTTCTCGGTTTCTCTTGGTTGGGGTCCCCCTTGCTGCAAGAGGGAACGTCTTTTTAGCATAATGTAATGACTGGAGTTTAATTGCCCAGCAAATGGATTTGCTGTATGCAGGACAGGAGTGGGAAAATGAAGATGATCCATCATGTCGGGTCTGTAACTAGCCTCCTAGCCACCTAGCTTGGATTCACCCAGGTTTCTCTGAAAGCTTTCATGCCTCGGCGCCTTGCAAAACGCATGACAAAAGAGGCCATTCAGACGAGTGCAATTTCCCTTTCCCTTCATCCCTGCGATAACATTTTAGCGTCATTGGAATAATGTTGTCTTAAAAGAGTGGAAAATGCTTTAATCGTTGCACCTGAGCTGATACCATGCTGTTGGCTTTTCGCTCAGGCCACGCTGTGGACAGCATGGGGACATAGGTTGGGGACAACATGTCCCTCCTATCCATCAGAGCCTAGTCCTGCATAGAATCACAGAAGCTTCATGGTTGGAAGGGACCTTTGAGATCATTGAGTCCAACCACAAAAAAAAAAAATCAAACAAAAAAACAACGACAAAAAAGCCCCCACAAACAGACACAAACCAACAGTCTTGGGCACTAGAGCATGCCCTGAAGAGCCATGTCCACACGTTTCTTAAGTACCTCCAGGGATGGTGACTCCACCACCTCCCTGGGCAGGCTGTTCCAGTGCCTGACCACTCTCTCAGGAAAGTCATTCTTCCTGGTATCTCATCTAAACCTCCCCTGCCCCAGTTTCAGACCATTTCCTCTGCTCCTCTGGAGAAGAGGCCAACCCCCACCTCTCTCCACCTTCCTTTCAGGGAGTTGTAGAGGGCAAGGAGGTCTCCCCTCAGCCTCCTCTTCTCCAAACTAAGCATGCCCAGCCCCCTCAGCCTCTCCTCATATGACTTGTTCTCCAGACCCCTCACCAGCTTGGTGGCTCTCCTCTGGATGTGTTCCAGCACTTCAAGGTCCTTCTTGTAGTGAGGGGTCCAGAACTGAACTCACCAGTGCTTAAAACTAGAAGGGGACTAGATTTGCAGGACTGATCTCCTCTGTAAAGCCCACCGAGGTCAAGCAGCACCTAACAGAGAGGGAAACCCACCAGGGTTTAGTCACGGGGAAGTGACTATACCCCAGGCAATGTGAGAGTGAGAAGATGCTGGCAGAGGTGCCCAGGATGGCTGGCAGGTGGGGAGGCTGGGCTCCCCTGGGGCTCCTGCCAAGGCTGCCTGCTGTTTGATTCCCTCAGTTATTTCTGGGCAGGACGACGTGCAGCTGAGGCTCTCGGCTCTCCGCCCCACCAGCTTGCTGGGATGCTCTCCTGTGAGCATCACTGGGGTGCCTCCAACACCTGGTGGGATGCTCAGCCCCAAATCCCCCAAAGTTGGCTGCTTCAACATCTCCTTCTGCTTGTTAACCCATGATGGTGTGGGGCCAAGGAGAACCTCTAACTCAGCAAGTCCTGTGGTCAGGGCTCCTGATGAGTGACAGCCCCAAGCAGTGCTGGCTCAGCACTCAGAGGCTGCCCGGGTGAAGGGTTTTTTGGGCAAAGCCCAAAACTCAGCAGCTCAGAGCCACCATGACGTGGAGGGATGGGTGGCTGTGGGATGTCCAGCGCAGCGCCTGTGAGGAGGTGGGATCATACACGTGAAAGACAAAGAGAGGGGCTTGAAATCATAAGAATGTGCAACGTATGGGGCTGTGTTTTCTGCCCCAAGCCCCCTTGTTCCTTCCCTTCAGCTCTCTGCCTCTCCCAGGAGGCACAGGCTGTGCTCTCCCTCCATCCCCTGGGTTCACCCTGCTCAGAAAGCGAGGATGATGACTGATGGGGAATTTCACATGTTGCTTCTGTCCCCCTCCTTTGCTACGTGCAACTTCTGCTGAGCTGGCAAACGCACCATAAATAGCTGGTGTTTCAGGAGCAGGATGGGGAGGCATTCACTAGCTCACAAAAAAACCCCTGTGGAAGCAGTCTTTCTGGGTCGGTTGGCTGTTTTGTTGGCCATGCCGTTGGATCTTTGAGGATCGTAGCCTGGCTCTTGGCGCTGACTGGGAGAGTTTTGCTGTCTGACAATTTCTGGTGGTGTGGTGTGACTTTCTGCAGCGAAGAACTCGCTTTCCAAGGGATTATGCTTTCCAAGGGCGAGCTGGAGCCTTTCCAGGGCAGGCTGTGTTGAGCAGACCACGTCCTCTGCCAAGGAGAAGGCACTAGATGACTGATGGGGAATTTCACATGTTGCTTCTGTCCCCCTCCTTTGCTACGTGCAACTTCTGCTGAGCTGGCAAACGCACCATAAATAGCTGGTGTTTCAGGAGCAGGATGGGGAGGCATTCACTAGCTCACAAAAAAACCCCTGTGGAAGCAGTCTTTCTGGGTCGGTTGGCTGTTTTGTTGGCCATGCCGTTGGATCTTTGAGGATCGTAGCCTGGCTCTTGGCGCTGACTGGGAGAGTTTTGCTGTCTGACAATTTCTGGTGGTGTGGTGTGACTTTCTGCAGCGAAGAACTCGCTTTCCAAGGGATTATGCTTTCCAAGGGCGAGCTGGAGCCTTTCCAGGGCAGGCTGTGTTGAGCAGACCACGTCCTCTGCCAAGGAGAAGGCACTATG